AATGTCGGGGGGGTGGCCGATGTCCGATAGTCAGTTTTAAGGCCGATACCGATAGGGGGCCGATTATATCGTGTATCCCTAGTTCCTGCTCTTGTCCTCCAGCGGCAGCTGCTGATGCCGTGGGGCGCCTCCCCCATCCCAACCCCGTTCTCCCACAGGAGTCCCTCTCAGCGCTGCAGTCGGAGCCGCAGGATGTTTACCCTCAGCGTCCAGACTGCAACATTGACGGCGCAAATTGATCACGCGGTGCCGCTCCGCCCTGACTTACATTCAAGGCGGGAGCGAGCGGGATGTAAATGTAAAATGTTATTCGGTCTAAAATAAATAACTGAATTTGAAATATTTTATCTTAAATAACAGCATCTGATTCACACAGCCACAGTCAGTCACTTAATCACCTTGTCCATTGTGTTTTCCTCTCTAAGATTAACATTGATCTGCTGCTGAGAATCATTATGTCTCAGTCTAAACTGTACAGTCAAAAATACAGAAAAGAGTGGGAATGAACCCTGAAAAAAATCAGCTGTATATATTGTTTATTAAAGTGAGTAAAAACACTATTATATAGTGTTTTTACTCACTTTTTGTCTTTCTGTAACATTATTTCTCCCACAGCATCAATAACATGCACATCACTTCCTGTGGCAGATTATGCAAATTAGGCGATGATGTCATTTAGCGACTTTTAGCACAGCCAATAGCTACTTTCCTTACTGAGGAGTTGGCAACAACTCGGCCGTCATCTGCTGGGCGGAGCTCCAAGCTTTCTTTCTGAAACGGGTTGTATGATGACTTTGGTCTCCTAATATTACAATTTTATTCTCAAAATAAGAAATAAATAAAAAATCTCTAACCTGGCCGTAATTTTCCGTGGGCAGGAGGTCTTTACAACAATATGAGTTGTTTTGGGTTTTATTAATATTGTTTCCTCCCCTCCTCTGTAATGTCTTCCTTGGCTGCAGCCATAGACGTGTGGTCGGCTGGTGTGATCCTGCTCTCCCTCCTCAGCGGTCGTTACCCCTTCTTCAAAGCCAGCGATGACCTGATGGCGCTCACACAGATCATGACTATAAGAGGCTCCAGGGAGACCATTCAGGCCGCAAAGACGTTTGGTACGCATGGAGCTCCTTTACCTGGAAACGCCTCCTTTTTAATGGATGTTTAAGTTTTATATAAGGGGGGCTGTCGGTGTTTTACCAGGAAAAGCAGTGGTGTGCAGTCGGGAGCTTCCGCGTCAGGACCTCAGGACGCTCTGCGAGACGCTGAGAGGGAAGAGGTGTCCGGCAGGTGATGTCACCGGGGTCCGGGAAGCAAACGGAGAGACGGCCGGAGGCCAACTGAAGCAGCTGCTCAAGCAGCAAGAAGAAGAGCCTTCAGGAAGCAGAGTCCCGACCAATCACAGCTCCCCGTCAGAGAGAAGCGAGGGCGAGGACGGCAGAGGCTGGGACAGGGTTCCTGACGCGGCCTTCGACCTGCTGGACCGGCTGTTGGACCTGAACCCTTCCACCAGGATCACAGCCGCCGAAGCTCTGCAGCACCCGCTCTTCAAGGACCTTTGACCCTAAGCTCCAGCCCCCCACGGCTGAGGTTTTAAATCCACACTCATATCACTGCTAGGTATGGAGTCAATTCTGTTCCATTATTGTTGCCAGCAAACAAATTTGGAAACGGACATTTAACAAAAAAAAAGCAATCCAGAAATGAAGCTTCTTGACAAAAAAAAAACATTTTGAGTTTCATTGCCTTTATTTTATTTTTTTTTTCAAAATAACTTTTTTTTTACAGATTTTAGATCTTAAGTTATTTTTTCGCCAAAATTTCTTTCAGATCCAGTTTTAACAAATTGCGCTTTTTCCAATTGAGTTTTTTTGCATGGCATATTCTTAAACTCACATCCAATTTCAATGCTCCCTCTTGACCAATAAAATGTCACAGATGTAAAACTGACCAATAGAAAATGGTTTTGACTCCATAGAAAAGTGAAGAGAATCTAGCCTAGAAAATCTAACATTAAAGCAATTCCTTAAATTCAGTCTAAGAGAGAAACTTCTAGAAAATATCAAAATATAAAATCTGTAAAATAAATACAATAAAAAAATTTAAGGCCAATAAAATTTTTATTAAAACTGGAAAAACTAAAATTTGGGAAAAAAATAAAGTTGGAGAAAAACAATGACAAAAAGCAGTTGCATTCAAATCCTGTTTTTATTTAATATATATGTATGTTTGTGTGTGTACAAAAGATCTTTGTCAAAGTTTAGTTTCTAGATTGCATTTTTTATTTTCAAAGCGTTTTTTGTCTTTGCAACAATAATGGAACAAACTTCACTCCATAGTTGGGCAGGGCGAGAAATTATATGTTCATAAAGAGTAAAGAAATCCAGGAAAAAAAGGTAGTTTTACCTCCATGGTGCTGCAGATCATACCGGGCATTAAAGTCGACCTCAGGAAAAACTTTCATGTTAACCTAAAAAAGGACTGCTGCTGGGAGTTAACTTTAAAAAGGGCTTTTAATTTGAAGGCATGCGTTGTGATGTCATTGGTGCTGAAATCTGCAGAATGTCTGAATTTTTCCTAATAAAATAGAAATGTTCCTTTTAAAACCTGTTGCTGCAGACGACTGGTTCATGATCAGCCAATAGGAAGGAAGAAATATGCAAACACATCCAGTAATATTTGGTAAGTGGGCTACATCGTATTTATAGTTTGTGTTAAAAATGTTGTAACTTTAGCAAATATTCGGTTTGGAATGTTCCAAAAGTTTCAAAACCAGTTTTGATCTTTATTCGGGATTGTTGATCTGTGTCCCAATTCAAACATCTGTTGCTTTTGAGGTGAAGTGACGATTTAGAGGAGGTAAGATGCAGAACATACACTGATCATAATACTACCACCACCGTGCTGGACGGTTTAGTCATTGTTGTCAAACTATCATTGTCCGTCAGTTTGTCCAGCACTTTTCTGTGTGGTTAACTGCAAATCTTATTCAGTGCTAAAGATGCTAAAAGCTAGTGATGGATCCATTAACAGCGACGCGTCGGTGGGTGGAGCCCAAAGAGCGAAACGCTGGATCGCTGCGCGTTTCCAGATAGTCATGTGACCGATACAGGACTTGTTTCTAACTGACCGACTCAGTAAACTGTTTAAAATCTGTCAACATGATGCATCTGCTACAAAAAATGTCTCATCTTTTGAGGTTTATCATTGAAATTATCAAGAATTTTGGAGCCTAAAAGGAATAGGAACGTTTCAGTCGTCATGTTTTTATTTTAATTTTCTCGTTGTGTCGTACTTTTCCTCTCAGTTAGCACTCAAATTATCTGAATTAAAGTTAATTTCAAATTGACTTTTAGTTTATTTACTGTTTTTACTGTACTTATTGTTTTAAAATTATTTAAAACCCTAGTCCACATGCATCCTCTGTCACATTTTCCCCTAATTTTACACGTTATGTTTACATTATTTATTGGCTGCATCTAAAAATATCAAAGATATTTTGAATTTAAACAAATATAAAATAATATAACTAACAATAAAAAAAATCAGCGGCCATTTTCCAGGCTAAGGACCCCAAACTGATGGCG